TTATGAAAATAATAATGACTATAATGATTATAATAAGGATAATCATAATGATGCTAATGATAAAGGTAGTGATAATAATGAAATATAGAAACAATAATAGCATTAACAATAATAAAATTAACAACAATAGCAATAATAATAATAACAATAATAACAATAATAAGAATGATGATAATGATAATACTACAATCAACAACAATAACAACAATAATAGAAACAATAGCAATGATAAAATAAAAAGAAGAAACTGACCTACTTCATTCAATGTCTGTCCTTAACCCACTCTCCTCTCTAACTCCCCTTCCCCCTCTCCTCTCTAACTCCTTCCCCTCTCCTCTCTAACTCCCCTTCCCCTCTTCTCTCTAAACCTCCCTTCCCCTTCCTCTCTAACTCCCTTCCCCTCTCTCCTAACTCCCTTCCCTTTCCTCTCTAACTCCCCTTCCCCCTTTCCTCTCTAACCTCCCTCCCCCTCTTCTCTCTAATCCCTCTTCCCCTCTCTAACTCCTCTCCCCTTTCTCTCTAATCCCTTCCCCTTTCCTCTCTAACTCCCCTTCCCCCTCCCTCTTAACTCCCTTCCCTTTCTCTCTAACTCCCCTTCCCCCTCTCCTCTCTAACTCCCTTCCCCCTCTCATCTCTCCCCCTTCCCCTTTCCTCTCTAACTCCTTCCCCTTTCCCTCTCTAACTCCCCTTCCCCTCTCCTCTCTAAAACTCCCTTCCCCTTTCTCTCTAACTCCCTTCTTTTCCTCCTAACTCCCCCTTTCCTCCCCTTCCCCCCTTTCCTCTCTAACTCCCTTCCCCTCTCTCTCTCTCTCCCTCCCCTAACTCCCCTTCCCCTTTCCTCTCTAACTCCCTTCCCCCTCTCCTCTCTAACTCCCTTCCCCTTCTCTCTTCCCCTTCCTCTCCTCTCTAACTCCCTTCCCCTTTCCTCTCTACTCCCCTTCCCCCTTCCTCTCTAACTCCCCTTCCTTTCCTCTCTAACTCCCTTCCCCTTTCCTCTCTAACTCCCCTTCCCTTTCCTCTCTAACCCCCTTCCCCTCTCCTCTCTAATCCTCCCCCTTTCCCTCTCTTCCCTTCCCTTTCCTCTCTAACTCCCTTCCCCCTTTCCCTCTCTAACCCTTCCCCTCTCTCTAACTCCCCTTCCCCCTTTCCTCTCTAACTCCCCTTCCCCCTCTCTTCTCTAACTCCCCTTCTCCCTTTCCTCTCTAACTCCCCTTCCCTCTCTTCTCTAACTCCCCTTCCCCTTTCCTCTCTAACTCCCTTCCCCTCTCTTCTCTAACTCCTTCCCTCCTTTCCTCTAACTCCCTTCCCCCTTCTCTTCTCTAACTCCCTTCCCTTTTCCTCTCTAAACTCCCTTCCCCTCCTCTAACTCCTTTCCCTTTCTCTCTAACTCCCCTTCCCCCTTTCCTCTCTAACTCCCCCTTTCTCTCTAACTCCCTTCCCCTCTCCTCTCTCTCTAACTCCCTTCCCCCTTTCCTCTCTAACTCCTTCCTCTTCTCTAACTCCTTCCCCTTTCTCTCTAACTCCCTTTCCCCTTCTCTCTAACTCCCCTTCCCCTTTCTCTCTAATCCCTTCTCCTTTCCCTCTAACTCCCCTTCCCCCTCTCTTCTCTAACTCCCTTCCCCTTTCCTCTCTAACTCCCTCCCCTTTCTCTCTAACTCCCCTCCCCCTCTCTTCTCTAACTCCCTCCCCCCTTTCCTCTCTAACTCCCCTTCCCCCTTTGCCTCTAACTCCCTTCCCCCCTCTCCTCTTCTAACTCCCCTTCCCTTTCCTCTTCTTCCCTCTCTCTAACTCCCCTTCCCCTTTCCTTCTAACTCCCTTCCCTTTCCTCTCTAACTCCCTTTCCCTTTCCTCTCTAACTCCCTTCCCCCTTTCTCTCTAACTCCCCTTCCTTCTCTAACTCCCTCTTTTCTCTCTAACTCCCCTTCCCCCTTTCCTCTCTAACTCCCTTCCCCTTTCCTCTCTAACTTCCCCTTCTTTCTCCTAACTCCCCTTCCTCCTTCTCTCTAACTCCCCTTCCCCTCTCTTCTCTAACTCCCCCTCTTTCCTCTACCTCCCCCTTTCCTCTCTACTCCCTCCCCCTCTCTTCTCTAACTCCCCTCCCCCCTTTCCTCTCTAACTCCCTCCCCCTCTCCTTTCTTAACTCCCCTTCCCCCTCTCCTCTCTAACTCCCCTTCCCTCTTCCTCTCTAACTCCCCTTCCCCCTCTCTTCTCTAACTCCTTCCCCTTTCTCTCTAATCCCTTCCCCTTTCCTCTCTAACTCCCCTTCCCCCTCTCCTCTCTAACTCCCCTTCCCCCTTTCCTCTCTAACTCCCCTTCCCGAACTCCCTTCCCTCTCTTCTCTAACTCCCTTTCCCCCCTTTCCTCTCTAACTCCCTTCCCCCTTTCCTCTCTAACTCCCTTCCCCTAACTCCCCTTCCCCTTTCTCTCTAACTAACTCCCCTTTCTCTAACTTTCCCCTCCTCTCTAACTAACTCCCCTTCCCCCTCCTCTCTAACTCCCT